GAATTACACACACTTCAAGCTGACAAAGAAGACAATTCAAGGAAGTTCCCTGACATCAGTCAGAACAACCTAGAGATTTTCAGAATTAATGATCTATGTCTTTATAACTATGAGATCACTCTTCTATGCCCATAGACAAAAAAAGGCAACAGTGAAAAAAGAGCCTAAAAATCAAAGTTATATAAGGTAAAGGAGATAGGCTTGTGGGTAAAGGAGATAGGCTTGTCATGAAAAGATTTGAGTAAGTGGCCTAGAGAGACTATCTGTATTAGGTAAGTTATATATCCCACAAATAGCTCTTCTAAAATCAGCGGGAAAGGAACAATTCAAGAAGAGTAAGTTATCAGAATTGTATCCTTCAGAAAAACACAGCCCTTGCCCTTTATTGGTGAATTAACCTGCTCTTAGGCCTGAATTAGCACTGTCTCTAAACCTCTGCACATTTTGTGTCAATCTACTTTGATATTACTTAATGTATCATTTACTAGGCAAAACCTTAGAGTTACATACACCCTGACGTTTATATATTGGTTGAATAATACAAGTGTGGACCTATGGCGATCATTTAGTTCAACTCTGAGAAGGACTATAAGCACCACTATACCAGGTCAGCTGGGGTTACCTGTGGCTTTTTTGCTAGCTGAATTTAGAAATCTTCCAAGGGGGAAGATTCCACCACCTCTCACAATAACCTCTTTTAGTGCTGCACTAACATCATAGTGAAGAATATTTTTCTAATGTCCTATCAACCTCTCAAGACACAGTTTGTGACCAATGGCTCAGGCGATCCATTCTTATGATGCTGGTTATTTTTCCTCTTAAGTTTTGAAAAGGGGAGAAGAACAAGAAATTCTATTGAAGAAGTAAACCACATTTTGGACAGAATAATGGAAAAAAAATGTATCTTATGGGCATGAACTGACTGTGTATGTCCAATTTCTCAGTCTCCATGCAAAGCTCAAATAAATGAGCCAAGATAGTACTGATGCAGAACAAAGTTGGAGAACTGTAAGTTAAGAACCAAGAAGCAAAAAGCCAGATCTATTTTATAACTAAATAACAACTATACTCAAGTACTAATAACCTCTGAGAAGCATTGCCTGGTGTAAGAAGTGATTTTGGCTGCTCCAAGAGCAGAAAACTGGGCTCCTCTTGTACATGATATATGCAGTGGGTCTGTAAGAATATTTTGGGCCTGGAACTGACACAGTGAGGCCTTCATCTTCTTCACATGTGCGTGCTATAGTATTAGCCTACTTGTTAAAAGTCCAGCTAATTAAAAAAGCCTGTTCCTTGCATCTTTATCTCACCTTCATCTGAACAGCTGCTGACATGGATGGCATGGAGTACAGACGTGGACAAGGCACAGACACTCTACTACAATTCCAGACTTGAACTACCAAAACCTGTAACCGAGCTCTGACACCAGCTGCATCAGTTCTAGCAGTTCAAATCATCAACTGATAATGACCACCATGAGCGATACAGAAGAAAATACATCTGCTTGCAGTGTCAGGCAGAACTGTCGAGCCTCATACACTGAGCATGGACCCCAGGCAAATGGACTCCTGAGCAGGACCGCAGGACCGCCAAGTCTGTAATTCCTGCACTTAACACACACTGCCATGGTTAACTGCCCATTCGGGAGCCCCACCTACTAAATTCAGCTTGCCAGCCCAATCTATGACTCACTAGCCAGCAGGGCAAGATACAGGGCTGGTATAGAGCATCATCAAGACAGCAATTAAACATTTCTTTGTAAGCAATGAGTTGAGTCTCAAATGAAGAATTACATTTCTAGAACTTACTAAAGTGAAACTTATATGATTCTGGGAACTGAAATAAAACCAAAGCTGAGTGCTCTTGCTTTTTTTCCTTCTGTGAGCTGACTGCTTCACAATTTCAAACTTTATAGAAAGAAATTATTTTCCTTGTGACAAAAAAAAAAAAACCCCAAACCTATCTGACCTAAATATGGTTCATAGTTGATGCAGCCTGAAAAGTCATTTTAAGATGTATGTCCTGCTAACAAATTATACGTGGTGATCCTAATTATGACAATATCCAGACATATGAAATTAAGACATTTTGGTACAAAGATAAGACAAAGTCTGTAGTTCTTTTAATTAAACCAACAGGTGGAAAAAGCAGGCACTTTTGGACACATAAACCCTTTCTGAAGTCAGGAAGACTGTACACCTAGCCACACTTTCTGAGCATATTAATTGGAAATGAATTACACCATTTGGTTCAATAAAATATATTACTTCTTTTTACACAGCTTGCCTCAGTTCACTTAAATTTCTAAGTACAACAATACCTGATTTGTGTAGCCCAGTGACAGCTGTAATAATGGATAAAGTAAAACAAATCCAATTATATAAACTTTATCAGTAAAATAAAACCTCTTAAAATACACATTTTCTACTAAAACAATGTGAAAATTAAGTGAAAATCTGTGGCTATTGAAGCATCCCTGTGCCCTGATACTGAAAATATGTGTAGTCTTGATGGTGGAGAGGAAGCTGTCTGTACTACTGTATGACTGCCTGTCCCTTGTTTACTTTTAGGCACCATCAACAGCTTTAGAGAAAATTTGAAAGAGGCAGAAATTTAATTTTATCGTAATAGTATTAAATTATATGACTGACATCTCCCTCTTCTTTTTTTTGGTTAAAGGACAATTTTATTGCAGCAGAGGTTCAAAATTTCACTGACATAAACTTCAATTGCCTTTAAATTTGAATTTTACTGGTTGTTTAAAAAGACATTCATAGGTGAAGAGTGTTTAACACTCTTCATTATACAGAGAAAAGTGCTTCTTCAATTTCTTAAAGACAATCCTCTTCCTTGTAAAATTAGGAAATGCTGATAGCCATGCACAACATCACTGCTAAATGTAATATATATGTTTTAGTAGGCTTATTAACCAACTACCCTATCCATCTTATATAAATTCAGATCAGACAGTATTTACTATGGATAGATAAATGTCAATATTCACAGCGTATTTCATCATGCTAGATCAAATAGAGATCTGTTGCTTTTGCCACTGCTGCACACAGATAAAGTCTTGGCTGCAACAGAGTAGAAACTTTTGGGTTTGAATTAAAAAAAAAAAAATGGCTCCCATTTCTTCTTACAAGAATGCCATGAATTATGTGATTCACTCTATTAAAATTACAAAAGGGATTGTCACTATCTCCTATTTTTCTCATTGCCCAATGAATTTTTTACATAAGAGGATGAGAAACAATGAATATATAATGAGAAAAAAGGATACATAAACCTATTAAAACTGCTTTATATGTTGAAAATATTTTTGCCTAGACCACTATTTTCTTCCAAAAATTAGTATCTGGAGAATTTAATGATTTTACCTACAGCACCTCCCATTAAATTGAAGTATTCAAAGTCAAATTGCTTGACAGGACTCAGGAAACTAGCTCTACTTCCTTCAGAAAAAAAATGCAGAAACATAACCAATCAAACAGAAAACGTTAAGTGAGTAACAGATTCCACTAGGTACTCAGGAATTTGATGTCCATCAAAACCTGTAAGAGTTAAATTACTTAAAGTGTCAAATATCAGCTTGATCAGATGCAAAAAACCTCCCCCAAACTGGAACACAATGGAACAAGCATAGTTTCCTGGTTATGAAGAACATGTTTTGTAAACTATTAATTTTGGCTCTGGCTATCTTTTTTTTTTTCAAATGCTTTTTATAGTCATCCCAACTCAATACTCCCATGGGAATGTGCAGAACCCTACTTACAATTCACCTGGCATAAGAAAAGGGTAAGATACTCTTTTCCAACTCACTAAACAATATGGATTAGCTATTCAAAACAACATAAATATTATCATATCATACAGTTTGTCAAACAACTCACAGCAAAAGTGGGCTGTGGAGTACTTACCAGTAGAGTAGAAGCAATATAAATATTATTGCTATAGATTAGTAAAAAGGTCATTCCCTCAAATTCTTATGTATGGGTTTTTGATAAATGATAAAAAAAGAGCAAGATAAATAAATTACTCTTTCACTGAGGACACTAATTGCTACAGAATAGAATATGAACCCAAATCACAACTTAGAATTTAAAATACCAGAATAGAATTCTTACCTTCAAGGTAGGGATTATGACTCTTACATTTTTTTTAATGCATGAGGTTAAATTTATAAACTATAAATATTTCATAAATGCATAACTCTAACCTGACTAAGAAACAAATGTATGTCTACCTTTGCATACACCCTTCTTAACAAAACCTAGGTTTGACATGGTGGCAAAAGGCCTTGGTAGACAGATGCATCAGGAGGAATGGACATTGGCTTAACAATAGGAAAAGTGACACAATCTGTATATAATAAAAAGAATGTTTTGTGATTTTTGTAGTTCAGTTCATCTTGTGGTTAATCATATAAACTTAATGGAAAATTATGTATAATTTTTGCAAAGATATGGAAGCAATCATGAAGTTATGCAAATACACTGGAAGTGTCTAATTGTTAAGATGCTTTGGATAGGAATTATCATCAAGTAATTCTAAGTCATTGGATAAGTTTATTACAAAATTATATTGACTTTTGATTTCTAGGAAATAGGAAATAGAAAAAATAAATAACATTGTTTGGAATAGAGGCACATAGTCCTGCCTGACTGCATGTTTCTCTGAACAAAACAGTAAGTTTACTTTTTGTGGGTAAACCTTTAGTTTACCTTTAGTTCCCATATTACAGAGCAAATTGAAAACAGGTTTTTCAATGGTTTCCAGATGGAAAATGCCTACTGTGAAGAATCTTTTTCAAGATCTTCTGCTCATTTTAAGATGACATATTTTGCATTCTATGTTTTTATTCGTCCTTTGTTGCCACAATGGAATTTATTAATGCTTGTGCCTCTTGCTAGCTTTGGCATTTTTTGCAAATATGATCCTCCAACAACATCATACAGAGAAAGAGTAGGTGCTTATGTGAGATGTCATCAGTTACTCACCAAGGTCACCGCACGCTGTATTGTCTGGGAATCATATTATAGGCATTCTTTCATAGCCTGAAGGAAAAAATACTGAATTATCATATTATTTTTTCAAAATAACATTCTGATTACTTTTGACCCAAGTTAATACTCAGCCTAAAAATTCCAAGAATATAGATGATTTCAATTTAAACTCTATTTAATCCAGTGCAAGAGAAAAACAGTAAATGATCTACATACATTGGATAATAATTTAAGCATGCTCTCCAGTTTAAAAATTAATATAGCATTGTTGTATTAACATCATAATTATTGTTTTATTTTAAATTTAAAAAATAGGGTGACTAATACTATGCTGAAAGGTATCTAGATGAAGTTAAAATAGCAGTGTAGAATTTCTCATCCTGTTGACCACTGAGCATGCTGTGGGACTACAGGTGATTTACAAAACAACAGAAAAATACGTATCTGCCTCTACCTACGTGCCATCAAATAAGCCAGCAAACACAAAAAAAGTTAAAAAACATCTTACAAAATGTAGCCTAATTTGCATTTGTTTGTAAAAGAAAACTATGGGAGCTGATATTGCACAAGGTGGTCAAGGGACTATTCAAAGAAAAGATTAGGTTAATTAAAAAAGGCTGTGAAATACAGAATCTAGAGGTTTTCATCACTAAAGAGACTTTATTTAATCTATTAATTTCAGCAGAGGACGTGTCTAAATGGGAAAGAATGATCTGAAGTATCTTACCATCTCATCCACACAACAGTCACAAAATGGTAGCTCTAGCGCAAACTATCAGAGAATTTAAACAACATAAACACTTACTCGAAGGTGTGGTCTTTAGGAATATCAGTATAAATCAGACTCTGACTTTAGTCCTAGAGGAGTAGCACTAAGGATTATGTATGGTGATGACCTTTACAGGACAGATGTCTGCCTGTCCATATAGAATTGGACTAGTACTTGATTCTGTTCCAGATTTGCCTCCTGTAAAACTGAACTGGGATGCCATTACCTCCTGCTGTAGTTCCATGAAAGACACACTGATCAAAGAAGTGAGCATTTTCTTTTGAATGTCAAGCATGAGATGTCAACAGACCAAACTAATAAACCATCATCCTGGCTTACACCAGCACTCCCTGATACTGCAATATAATGCCAGTGACAAATATAGTATTTTGTTGCCAGAAAAAGGCACTTTCGTGTTTAGTGTGTGTATGAAATGCAACCCTGCAAATGAAATCGTGAATGGTGGCAGTATCGTTATCTTGCTCTTATAGCTTTAAACATACTAAAAAGTAACCACTGGGCCAGCTGACCAACTCTTTCCAAATACGCAAGAGTGCTCTTAATTTAAGTGCTGCACTTAAGATGGCAGTCAATATGGAACATTGACTACTTAATATCAATGAAAACAAGCAAAATTCCTTCTCAGGAGCCTCTGAATGCACGGCTGTGTTCTGCTAATTCAGGTGAAAACATTCCAGTCAGTAATGCTAAAAGAAAAAGCAAAACCAGAAAGTCAAGAAGAGATACAGCTCTCATTTTCAGAATCACAAATGAACAAATAATACTAATATATCCAACGCTGTTTACAATGAAAATGGATTTATTTCAACTCCACATAGACTGAAGAGGAATAACAAATGTTCTGCATTCATACACTGATTATCTCATTGACGAAGCAGGACCTGTTTTGCCATTGTCACCCGTTGTCTCTAGTTTCACTCTACATGATGCTATAGCACCCCATTCTTTCTGCCTTTTTGCACTATGTCACTCTGTCATCCTCTAAGGGCTGCTGATGGTAGTATGGCAATACTGTTTCAGTGAAACAAAGGGGCTGTAACTTAGGAAAGCAGGCCAGCCTGCTGGCAAGAGCTTACTTATTCCCTCAGGAAAATGCCTACCTTGGAAAAGAATAAAATGATGGACCTAATCCAATTTTTGTCAAATATAATTGAAGTTCTTTCTCTGACATATCTGAGACTTACGGTGAGCCTGGAGGAAAAAACTTAAATCTGATTGGTATTTTTCATTTATTCAATAGAAGGGAGGAGGAAGGACAGAAAGAAAGAGAGAAAGAGAGAAAGGAAAGAACCATCACAAATAACCACAGAAAAACCACAGCACAGGCAATCCGGATGATGAAAAACAAGAGAAGTTCTCTTTATTATCGCTGGTTTCTGTGGTGCAAGTGACCTCTACCCTGTTTAGAATCACCTTTCTCTGGAAGTCAGAATATTATGGAAATTACAGGCAGTTCCAGCTGGGAACAAAGTTCTGCAAGTGTGTATTAATCTTGCAGTAGCTACAGAATATGTGATGGCATCAGTCTATCTAGATTGAACCCACAGATGTGGCTTTTTTTTTTTTTTTTCAGATTGATTTTGGCTTCCCCTTATTCATATCCAACCTCCAAAGGCAGGTTTGAGGGGGCAAGAAATAAAATCATATAATAATATAGCTATTAGGGGCAGGTCTTTTTCTTTTCATTGACTTTGCCTACAGGCTTCCTACACAAGAAGTCAAACAGGGCTGGAAAATAGGATCCACATCTTTAAAACCCTAGCCATACATCTTTATCCAATGAAATATACTTTGAGTGAAAGAGGTGTCATGAGAAATAAGAGGCAATGCTGGAAAGCAGCTTGCAGCTGCTATAATATGGCAGTCTTTCTGCTTCTTAGTAGCTACCTTATATAAATAATGGTCTGATCTGAAAGGCCCTTCATTTTGGATCTGCTTAATGTTTTGAATTTGCATTTGCTAAATGCAGAGTATCTCTCTTCTCACATGAGGTCATGTTTGAAAGCACTGAAGAGAGTCATTTAAAAGAAACTATAATACTCTGCAAACCTCATATTCTTTGCTGTAGCCTGAACACTATAGCATTTATACAAATATAGGCAGCTGCAGTCCCTGCCAGACATAGTTTTATGGAAGAACAGCAATTGAGACCAACTAAAAAAAAAAAAAAGGAACATATTAAAGTTTAAAACTTGTGGTTTGATGTTCCTAGTTCATGTTTTCCTCCAAATCATTTGGAAACCTACCCCTTTCACCTCCTTTTAAAGAAACTGAATTAGGAATCTCCAGGAACATTCCTCTTGGGTTGATTTCTGGATGTTATAAGAATACCAAAATATCTTAGAGACACTCACAGAAAAGAGGCGGTATTCAATGAAAATCACTAGTCAATTCTTATTTTATGCAAGGAATAAGAAAGTTCCTGCTGGAATGGATCACATACGGACTTATTTCCCTAGAAGAGGAGGGATCCTGCAATAATCGCAGTAGGGAGCATTATATCCATTGTAGCAATTTCAAGGGAATCTTCACGGCTTGTACTGGGTGCACTCCACATGGGAGAGTGTCCCCCCAAACTGACTCACCATATGTTTCTGTATCCCTATCAGGTCCTGAGAAGTGATTTGGTCGCAATCTCTTGTTTCTGACCAGGTTATAAGACTGGTTCTACTCATTTAAGGATTCTCTTTTTACAAAAACATTTTAAGTCATAGAGAGGCATGAAAATCTATTATTTATGGCAAGTAACGAAAGGTAAATTTTTTCTACTTTTTAATAATCTCTCACATGCATGCACATACAGATCTTCTCTCGTATCTCGCAGGTAAACAGATACCTTATAATCTCAATTTACAAAATAAAGAGCTTAATAAACCGCCCATAAAGAAAATAACCGTATTTCTTTTATGAAGTAACTAGTTGCCAACACCTCTCAACTCAGTCCGAACTCAAAGAACAACACTCCCTCAAAAAAACTCACGTGTGTTAGGCTTATGCACATGAGAACCTCTTTTGACATTAACATCAAAAAGGCACTATGCAATTTAGTATCCATGACAGGAGGGAAAGTAAAATACTTTCAGCATTGCTTAAATTCATATTTATGCCTATCCAACTATAAGAGCAAGAGCTCTGGGATCACAAAGCAGGGTAGCATAGCTAAGGACGAAGATGAAATATAAGCAAGAGGCATGAAGACTTCAAAAACATTTCATATAGTAGATATGGTAGACTATACACAAAGAAATCATAAGATTAGGTAAAAAGCAAACACCATCCCTCACACCACAACAGCCATCTCCTTTCCACAAGATTGCTAGAATGTCAATCAGTTTCTAAAACAATGTCACTTACTTTAACATTTACTTATACTTTTTCAAATAATGCTTTAAAATACAGCTGAAAATATTTTTAAGATTAGCCTACAGCATTAAGAGGTATTTTTAAAAATTAAGACATTTTGGTAGTAATGTTTCACTAACCATGTCCAAATAGGTATTACTAAACTACTGTAAAACTTTTTTTTAAGGCTAACATCAGTAAGATTCTGACATCTTATAAAACCATGTCCCTATGCTAGCATAAATATTAATTTCCCGCTGGCCTTTCTATACTCCCCAAATTTGCTAATTTCTCAAAAGATAAGGCAACCTGATCTTCACATAACTTAAATGCAGATCATATCCATTCATACCAGCTGAGGATCTGGGCTGAAATGTCTAATTGTCTTCTGATATTTTCCTAGACTCAAGTCAAAGAACAATGCAGTTTCAAAATTTATCTGCATGACAGTAAGCGTGCAACTGGGAGATTGTGCTAACACAGAAAATGCTTTTGTTTATTTGCACCTCTCTACCAAGTCATTAGATACCAGTGGCGAAGAAAAAATCAGCTCTAGCACAGATCTATCAATAAAATTTTCCATCTTTTTTTTTTTTTTTCTTCCTGTTCTAAGGTTTTAGTTTTTTCCCTATTCTTCTGCAGCCCCAGGAACAGCAGGTGAGCGAAACAAGAATAGCCTTGAATGCCAGCAAGTCTCCAGCTCTAACCCCATGCTTCAGCATGAGACTGCTGTATGTTCTAGGATAGTTTTTAGGTTAATACTGGTAAAACCAATGGTCAGAGTAACAAAGCAAGAGTGCTGGGGGGTCCGAGAGGTGTGTATGCGTGGTGATTTGGCTCTGATCCTGGAAAAGGCCCATGGCGGATGGGGAATGAGATAATCCTCCTGCAAAGGGGAGCGCTGGATCTTTCTTTACCTGTGTGAAGGGAGGATAGGTGGACGGGACCTTGTTCCACAGGGCCGGCACCTGCAGCCCTCGGCAGCGGCGTGAGGCGTTTACCTCTTGCTCTGCTGCGCAAGGGCTCCGGGTTTGGACAGTCACTGGACAGCTCCTGCCCCTCGAGAGAGTCGGCTGCCTGAGGAGGATGGCAGAGCCCGCCATGGTGAGGGGAAGGCTGACAGCTCTCCCGCTTCCTCGGTCGGCTCCGCGGACGCCCCTTAAGCCCAAGGTCCTGCCGCGCCCTCCGCAGGTGCCTGAGGGCCACTCAGCAGCGCCCTTCCCGCCCCCACAGCACCCTCAGAGGCCGCTCCGCACGGGAGAGAGCTGCCGCCCGGCTCCCGCCCCCGCCCCGCGGCGGGCCGGCCGCCGCTCCCGCCGCCGCCGGAGGTGCTCCCCGGGGCGGGGAAGGGAAGGGCAGAGCGGGGAGGCGGCACCGCTTTCCCACCTGCTCCCCCCCGCCTCCCTCCGCCGCCGGCGAGGTGAGTGATGAGGCGGCTGCGGGGAGCGGCTGGTGGGGAGCAGCCGGAGGAGTTTGTTTGCTGCCTGTTCCCGTCTCCCTGATGCTCTGAGCCGGAGTCTCCTCCTCTCCCTGGGCTCCCACCCGGGCTGGATGCTCCGCTCTCTCCTCGCTTCGCTGCCACAGTCGCCTGCCGCTGCCCGCCGCCCCGCAAGAAATGGAGCCGTCCGCCGCCCCCCTGGACACCACTCCAGACCCGGCCATCGTGCAGCCCCCCGGGGCCAGCCCGCCGGTGCCCCCCCGGGAGCAACAGCAGGAGCAGCTGCGGATCGGGGAGAGCGGGCAGTTCAGCGAGGGGCTTGAGGACAGAGGTGAGCGCCCGCCCGTCCCTCACCCTGCACTCGCCCCCCTGCCCGCTGCCCTCCTCGGGGCCATGCCCCCATCACCTTCCCCTCCGTCCCGAGACGCCTAACACCCACCCCCGACAGCTTTCCCTACACTCTCCCTTGCAGCACCCTCACGCCTCGCTTTCCTGGACCCATGCCTTCCTCCTCACTCAGCCACAGCAGCCCTTCCCGCCCCCTCTCCCTCAGCACCCACAGCCCCGCACCGACTCCCTGCCCTCCTGACTGCTCCCCCCCCCCCCCGCCTCCCCACCAGCCGCTCTCCGTTCGCCACCGCCCGTCGTGCTTCTCAGCGCCCCACTCTCCTCCGGGACCCCCTTGCTCTGCCCTCACCCCCCGGCCTCCCGCGGGGTGGGGGGGTCTGCAGGCCCCGGCCCCGCTACCGCCCTACCGCTGTCGCCTGCTGCGCGCCCCCGGCCGCCTCCCCTCAGCCCGCCGCTGGCACTCGCTTAACGTTCTCCCTCCCGCGCCGCCTTCGAAGCTTTCCCCCTTTTTTAGTTCTCTCAGCGAGCACCTCGCGACAGCTTTATAATATTTTTATAAACTCTATTCGTGGCTGTTCCCACCTCGCCCAGAAACTTGCCTGCCTGGCGGGTGCCGGGGGCCCATGGCGCCGCTCCCGCCCCACGGGCGCGGGGGAGAGCCCGGCTGGCGGGCCGCGGCGGGGGCCCGGGGGCTGCCGGAGGGGGCCGGCACTGCCGGAGGTTTTCTCGCCGCTGAGGAGGGGGAGGCGGCGGGGGTTACCTGCCGGCGGGGCTTGTGGCAGCCGCCGTCCGAGCCGGGGCACAACGGGGCGTTCCTGTGGTGGCCTGCCACAGCCCAGCTGTGTAGCCGAGGCAGGGCGCTTGCCTTACTCCCTGCCTTCCTTCCCATAGCGTATGATGCGCTTCCACATAACTCGGTTGTTTTTTTTTTGTTTGTTTGTTTGTTTTTTTTTTTTTTTTTTCATTATTTGCCTAAATATCTGACCAGGTACTGAAAGCTGCCTGCTTCTAAACAGTGTGACTCTTCAATGTAAAGCACACCTATTTCGGGCATCTGTTAATGGTGTGTGAGGCACTCACCTGCTGCCCCTGTAGGCAGCTGCCATTTTAACCCTCCCCATTGCCCTGTCCTCCACAACTCTCCAGGCTCCTCTTCCACTCAATTTGTCTCCATTTTTTTTATTTCATGTATAGGCTTTCCTTGGCCTCCCTGTTGCCTTTTCTTCCTTGTTTTACTTTCAGAATCCTAGGGTCCCTTTTGTGTTCTCAGTCTTCATCCCATCCTACACGTAATCCATGTATCTCCCATTCTTTCCCCAGCTTTCCAAATGCCCGCACCTGCTCACAAATCCTAGACACAGAGAAGTAAGGGGGAAGAGCAGTCACCATCTTCCCTGACATTTCAGTCTTGCTGGGGCTGGGGACTGCCCTTCTTCCAGGGGTACCCTCGCTGTCCTCGCCAATGGCAGAGGACAGACATTGTGACTGAGGGCAATTTGAGGCTTCAGTCCTGTTTTAAATAACAGGAATCACAAATTTTGATTATGGTTCAAGTGTGAAAGTTTGATTACAGACATTTTTAATTTGTGCCCAGTATGACAGAGCTAAAGATCAAAACTGGCCCTTTTGGCATTAAGGGTAATTCCAAAATGAGAGTGTCTGTTGTACCTAACCTTGTCTCTTTCTAGGAGGGAGACAAGACTAAAGCTACTGATTTTATTTCCTCATCTGCCTTCACACTCTTTCTGTGGCCCTTTCAGTAGCTTTCTTTTAGCCTTCCTTAAAGTCACTGATTCCATCTACCAGGGTAATTTCAGTCATTGTAGAGGAAAATTTGGTATGCTTTTTTCAGGTTGTCCCTGTTGAAATTGTTACAGTCTGTCCTCTTAGATTGTACTTTTTCTTATGATCCTTTCCAATGAATCATAGCAGATCCAGTTATAGAGATGATACTTCCATGTTTGCTAAAAATAAAAGCTAATCCTAAATTTTGGAACAAGATATTTGCTCTTTAAGGTCCAGATCCAAAATCAGTGATAATTTTGTGGATGGGGTCCTTAAATTAACATCTTAGGTGAACAATTTTTCTATTAGCCTTATCTCTTCCACAAATTCTAACTTGACATTTTAAAATGATCCCTTAGCCAAATAGAAAAGTACTTCTGGTAAGTCAGCATATGGTAAAGAATATCCTAGAATCACTTCACAAATATGCCAAGCTTGTGTTCTGCAACTGTTAGGCAGGTTTTTTCTCCTTCTGATTTTTTTATGGGAAGAAAATCTGTTAATATGTGAAGGTACTGAAAGATAAAGTAAAAATCTAGTGGGTTTAACCACCTCATCATATTTCTTTACCTTAAGGATATCTATATGCTAAATAAATTAATGGCAATAAAATTAATCAGTATGTTAATTTCAGGGCAGAGGAATTTTATGAGTAGATACTAGCTTTTTATTTTTGTAGCAATGCAGGTCATACTGAAAGATTATCTTGCAGCTTCCTGTGGATGCTTAAAACTTGTTTTCTTATAGTCAGTGAAAAAAATATGGAGGTTTACCTTGTGAATTGTGTTGTTGCGTGTAAATTAATGAGCTGTTGTTGCTTCTAAATAATTTTCATGCTATGGGCTTGGTAGTCATGTGAATGAGTTTGTATTTTTGTGTGCTGTCCCCTAGGACGCTTGTAAGAATAATACGATATTTCTCAGGGCTGAAAATTGTAATACAGAAAATTTATTTGAATTATTTTAGGAAGGAAGGGATCACATCTCTGGCAGCTAGAATATGCCAGCCATTTTGAGAAAGAAAGACAAACACACACAGCAGAAGTGGTTCAGTTTTATAAGGATTGCAGCCTCTGTCATACTGGACACGTGCTTGACATGTGAATAGTAATCAGCAGTGTTGCACTAGCTGTGGAGCTTATTAATTTCTCAATTTAATTAGGATATTACTTGTTTTGTAAGTATCAACTGTGTATGTTGGACTTCTTAGGTAAAAGTGAGCTGTAGCCATGAATTATAGGATGTCTTTAAAGAAAGAAACAGGTGAGGATGTCTGTCATTCTGATCAGTGTTTATTTGAGGCTTGAAATATTGAGAATCAAAATTTTCTAAGAAAACCTACTTTGCTTTACATTCCAACATGATTTGGGCTATAATTTAAAATCCTTGATTTGGGGAGGGAGCAGGTGGGGCAAACACACAAAACATGAGATGTGTTTTCTCTATGGTTATATTTGCAGAGATCTCTCCTATATTTCAAGATGTATTTTTAAATTACCTCATATCAGACAGCAATTAAACTGTGCATCATTATATGTAGTGGCAGAAGATAGGCCAAACATTGGGGAAAAAAAAAAAAAAGAATTTCTTCACTTAAATGAAAGTGGGCTATGTGAGAAATAGCTGTGCAGTACTATCAGGAAAAGACTCAAACCTTTCAGCATTGTCATCTGGTAGTTTTCATGTATTAAACAGACAAAGAACACACATAATAAGAAACAGAAATAATTTCAATATAGGGCCTAGTAATTCTCCTGCATGCAAGTTTGCAAATTCTTTTCCATTCATAAAGAGGGGAGTGTGTAGCACAAAACTGAGGTAATATATTTAAATTTTCTAAAAACATAGTACGAGCTTGAAATTTTCACTGTGGCTTTCTGAACTACCATAAAGAAACTCTCTCTGCTTTATTGTAATTGAGGTGAAAAAACCATGAAGAATTTTTCCAAGGCTGTGTGAATCCCACCAATTATGCTAGGATTAGAACCAGTAATTTTGACAGACTTCAAGTGGTGGAATAAAATCTGGTGTCTCTAATTGTTACCACCCCTGGATGCCTGCCCCGATGCTGACACATTGCTGCCCCTGAGGCAGAGATGTCTGATTCACTTCTGAATTAGTTCCAAAACCATTGTAGTTTGCAGCCAGTATATTATAGTCAGTTGGAATTAATATCTGTTTAACGTTAATAAACTTGGTTGAACAGGGTGTGGATTCAGGAGTATACTGATAACCAGAGCAGGTGTCCCAGCCTTGAAAGTGGCAATAGCCGTCAGAGAGAGAACTGGGGAAGGTGAGGGTAGTAATGGTTTCAGCTGTTATGTTTTAATCTGATGCTGAGTCTGCCAGAGCCCCTGTTCTGAACCCATTGTCTAAGACGTTAGACCAGCTGCTGAAAGGTTGTGCTATTAAAGCAGTGCCCCAGTTCAATGCATTCAGTGCAGGCAAGTCGCCCTGAAAAGTGATCATCTGAGAGGAGCCATCCACATTTTCTAGAGTAATTTATTAAGAAAGTTAAAAGCTCTCAGGTGTTCTCTCCAGTTAAGGAGATTTGAGATGGAACTTGCTGGTGAAAAAGAATGCGTGTTTCCAATTAGATGAATATATTAAGCACAAAAAAATCTGGATGGCGTATACAGAATGCAAATATGTTAAATTCTGAGTGCATTTCAAAAGTGGCTTAAGACTCAGACTGAGAGAATGAAAACCAAAGAATGTTGTTATTTTATTTATTTTTCAACCTGAATTATTCTTTGGGATTTGAGTGGACAAAAGACTTCCACAAACTGAAAGCATCAAAAAAGGGAGAAAGCAATTCCATTTGCTTGTGTTCAACAGACTTCCATGCTGATTGCAATAAGGACAGAATTGGTTCTTCAGCTGGTTCTACATGGTGATGTATTCTTGCCTCACATGAAGGACATTATGCTTCAAGAGGTTTTTTCAGCTGTTCTAGCTTTGATTCTAGCGTATGCCTGCATCTGCTTCGATGCTCAATATGTGCTGCATATTACTGTGCATCGGTAGGTTATTTTGCAGAGATTGATGAGCATGAGTTTTTCTCCTATGTTAATTATGTTCAGGATCCTGAAGTTCTGCAATGAGTTTTGATCTGAGTGCGTATAGGACTGAGCCCTTTCTTGTGTGCAGAAAATGTAAGGGATGTGAATTTCCGTAACTGCCCTACAATTGCAGTGCTCTTGTTAAGTGACTGATGTGTGGGTCTTCCTATGTGAAATCAAAACAACTTGTGTGTGCACTCCTTGCTTACTTATATGTTTCTGGTGGCTTTGTTCACTCATCCTTAATAATGTGAGTAGGATTTGATTCTGTGTTGACTTTACATGTAATATAAAACGTAAATATGTGATCTAGGTCTGAACTAACACAGCTGTGTTTTTAAAAGGAGCAATGTATTGTTCATACCCTCTTTGCTTATTGCTTATCAGGTTTACTAGAAAGCAGTACAAGGCTAAAACCTCATGAAGCTCAAAGCTACAGAAAGAAGGCATTGTGGGTTTCCTGGGTCTCCATTATTGTCACACTGGCTCTTGCAGTGGCTGCTTTCAGTGAGTATTGGGAATATTTTAAATCTTCACACCTCTTCCTTTTTCTTTTTGGGCTCTCAGAATTTCTCTATTTGTGGAGGCTTTCTCATGTTTTTTTTCTTCGTAACTGCTAAAAAGG